TATTATTATTAATCACAGGCAATTGTACTTTTATTGTCACTAACACCAATTACATAAGTGCATCATGATTATTGGTGGGTGTTTTTTACTGCAAAATGACCCAAAAATGGCGACTGACTGACTGACTGAATGAATGAATGAACGAACGAACGAACGAACGAACGAACGAACGAACGATGAAATGTTTTGAGACAGCTGAATGACGGTTTCGGAGAAGTAAACACAAGTTGGCTCATACAACAGGACTTTTGAAAAATGAGCTTTTTCAGTATATCAGTAGCCTAATAAAATGTTTGTAGTGGACATGTTCACATGACCAGTAACCCCAAATCACTTTATCTCTGTAACCCCTCTTTGTTCTCTCGTAGAATAAATGAATCATGACTTGACTGAGAATAGTGACTAAAAGCTTTTCTGTGACACTTCATCCACACCTCTAGGTGTCAGTAAAAGTCTTCACCAAGATGACATATGGGCCAGAGCAACGTAAACAAAAAATGACAGAGTGCACCTTCTCGAGTCCTTGGAGGGAGTTGACAGCAGTGTGTTGCGTGGCGGCATTACAGCATGAATCAGTGCTAAGCTCAGTGTAATTTTCAAAGTCCCCATTTCAGTCCCAAACTCATCACACAGACAACAGCCCATGGCTATTTCAGATGAGACTCAGACAGAGAGAGGAAGGGTAGACCCATTTTATGGAGCTCTCTCGTTCTTTTCCGCCACTGATTAATTTCATACTAGATCGGTTGGCCAGCAGTGTTATTAGCATAAAATTTCCATGGATCAGGCCCTGCAATAAAACCCTGTCATCAAGTCACTTGTCAAACACACAATTTCAAATCTCATTTAGTTTCTAATATAATTTTCATACCAGGCGGAGGGATGCTGAGAGAGGTGGAGCGGTAGAAGAGAGACGGGAATGTGTTATGTAAAGGATAAACGGAGTCATCGATCAAAATTAAAAGAGCTTCGCTTCATGATTAAAAATTCTACGGATCAGCATCAAGTGTTTATCAGGTGAAGCAAACAGCAGGAGTTTGAGATGCTCGCTGTGGCAGAACTGGATCTTCTAGACTAGAGGACCTCAAGTGCTAGACAAGCAGTCAGCGTTCACTGAAACAACAATCTACTATGATAATCTAATGCCAGTGCGAAAGATAATTACATTTTTACATTTTGTAAACAAAATCAGTGTTGACTGCCTGTGCAAAATTTGCCAACAAGACACTAAGGGCCAGATTTACTAACAGCTTACGCCAGCGCAAACCCTCTTTTGGCATTAAAAAACTGCTGTCAAGACTTACTAAAGACACGCAGTGAAAAATTAGCGCTGAAAAGGAGTGGCTGACCTTATCGCATATGCATTTGTAGGAGTTTCCCTTTCATGCGCAAAATTTATGGCAGGAGAGTATTTAAATGAATCACGCAACACGATTTACTAAGGTTTGCGCTCGGCAATGTACTAGTGTTTGCGCCATTATTTACTGCCCAAAAAAAGCAAGTCTTATGGTGCGTTCACGTGCTATGGTAATTAGGGTAAATACCAAAAGCCGAAGTGGAAAATGCACATGAACACCCTCTCATGTGTTATTTTCCACTGGGCAGCTCGTAGAATATTTTGATGCACGAGTTGCCGAGATGAGATAACCTTTGACCTTTTCAAAATGGCGGAGAGCAACGCGAGAGTCGTGAATGGTAAAAATATGTACTATTCATGATCTAGAAAATATACAGCATATTATTTACCATTTGAGTTTTGATAAATCATTTTCTGGCTGTAGCAGATGACTTAAGCAATTTAAAATAGTTTTAGCTAAATAACAGGACTGGATCTCCATCTTTTTATCACATTACGACAACAAAAGCACTTGAACGCAACACACTGGTAAATACCAGTTCACAAGTGGAAAACATCATATTTTCCATAGCATGTGTGAACGCACCAATAAAGCAGACGCTACCTGGTAGATTGCGTTGGTCATTATGGAAATTATCTGACTGCATCTGTGTTCTTTAATGTGTGCGTCGTCAGTAGATCACGCACAGAACTTTCCACTCACATCAGCGCTGTTTTAGAATTGAGCTCTCACGCTAATTTGCCCTGTTTAGTAAATCTGGCCCATTCCCATCAAGGACGATAACAATAAAGTTTTAATTAACGTTCTAATTCTGTGAGAATACAGTTGTCCAACCCCAACTATAACGATAATGACACATACAAACTACTTTGTTGAAATTACTTTCAGATTTTTTTTTCAGCCAACAAGAATCTACCCATCTTTAAAGAGCGCAAGCATTTAAACTGTGTAACTCCCTAAAAAAGTAACTGATTGTGTTACTTAGTTACTTTCTATGGAAAGTAATTTTGTTACTTTTGTGTTACTTTTTCTCACGTGGGTTGGACTTGCTTGGTTGTTTTTAGAAAAAAAAGTAATCTGATTACGTAACTCGTGTTACTTTTACTGTGTTATCTCCAACGACAGACGACTTGGTTGTTATGGAGTGTTCTAAGTGTTTTTGAGCACATGCTATGTGTTTTCTGCAAGTTTAACGTGCATTTAGGAAGGCTGCATATGCTAGGCTTACTGTATTTACACATTTACAAAATTTACAACATTTTTGTGGACAGACGTTTGCAGCATTTCAGCAGTGTTCTGCCAAAATAAAAGCTTGAAGATTTGAAATATTTAAAGCTCAAGGGTTTGAACTAGGCCTGTCAGTTAAACGCGTTATTAACGGCGTTAACGCAAACCCATTTTAACGCGATTAATTTTTTTATCGCGAGATTAAGTCTTTTTGGCCTAGCAAACTTTGTAGTTTTTTTTCACATGCTCGCACGAGGATGTTTTGTTGCTTCGTCGACCAAAGCGCAAGAGCAGCGGCGTGCACTCCGCGGTCAAATTTCAAAATAGTTCAACTTTTGCCGCTGTGACGATTACCAGCGCGGCCAATAGAAACTATTTGGCATCCAAAAAGTTTTGAAAACTGGCGTAGCGCCGCGCATTCTGCGTCCTGTCTGAAAGCACCGGATCTAGCTAGACCGGAAACACACTTGTTGCGAGCCGGCCAAATAGTAGGTTAACGTTAAGTTTTGAGTGGATGAAGAGCGCGAGACGCCGAAATGGATGCCAATAAGATTCTGAATTAAAAACGTTTAACGTTACTTTTAAAAAGTTGCCAAATGGTCCCATTGACAAGACCAAAGTGATCTGTGTTTTGTCGTTGTGAACTGAGCTATCATCATCGCAGGACGTCCAGTCTGAAATACCACTTGATGGCCAAGCACACACACACACAGCTGATGCGAATTCTCCGCCCCCTCGTCAATATCAGGACCTCGTCAGTATTTCTTTCACCCTTTTATTGATGGACATGTGTTACATTGTGTGAGAGATTATTTGCTCCAAGTGAGAATGTTTTAATGTGAAATTGAACACAGTATTGTCAATGTTGTTTTCAATAAAAAAACATTTGCACAAAGCAAGCTGATCCACTTTTTCATGTTGATAAGAGCATTCAAATTAGAAAAAATAATGGGACAAAAAGAAATAAAGAGACATTTTGATTAGATAAAAATGTGCGATTAATTGAGATTAATCGCGAGTTAACTATGACATTAATGTGATTAATCGCGATTAAATATTTTAATCGTTTGACAGCACTAGTTTGAACATGAAGAATTTAAAACATAAATAAAACATAAATAAAACATAAATTAATGTGATTAATCGCGATTAAATATTTTAATCGTTTGACAGCACTAGTTTGAACATGAAGAATTTAAAACATAAATATTGTAAACTTGCAGTGTATATAAAATTGTTTATTATTATTATCAACTATTCATTTTCATTTTATAATTGTATTTATTTTAAATGTTTTTTACAATTATAATTAACAAAATAATATATTTCTGTTATAATTAGAGTTAAAACTTAATAAATTGATAAATTAAAAAATGTAATGTCTAGATATAAAGCCAAAATAAAGCACAATGACACTTTATTTTAGTGTCCTTGTTACACGTCACAATTAGTTACTGTAGTACTAACAAGTAGTTACTGTAGTACTAACTATAAATTCTGCATAATTACATGCAACTAACCCTAAACCAACCCCTATTCCTAACTCTATAGTAAGTACATGTAGTTAATTATTATTACTCAGTACTTCAATGTATCCTTACACTGTAACACGGACACCTTAAAATAGTGTAACCTAAAACGCTTACTAATAAAAGATAAAATATTTGATCAGTTTACTTGCACGTCATGTGACCATTAAACAACATCAGAGAACAGTGAACATGTGAATGTGTTGTTACGTTATGTAAATATTAACTGAAATGAAAAGAAAAAATAAACAAAATTGAAACAAAACAAACACAGTATTCTTTGGTTTAATGTAGTTCGGAGCAATTCTGTAAGAAACTACGACTAATAAACAGCACGCATGCTTCTAATGAAACCTCTGCTGGCTCATGAAGTGGTTGCCAATACAACAGTCTTTCAGATGCTGTAATAAAAGTATGATAAACATTATTTTCATAACACACACACACACCCACACACACTTAAAGCCAAGCTGAAGGCACAACCACTAATAATGAAAAATAACACCAGTTTGGAGAGAGTAGAGTGGGGTGGGGGTATTTTAATAAGGACAGAGAATCAATGCAATTTAATCAATCTTGCCTAATTAAAAAAAATCTATATTGTGAAACAATCAAGGTGCATAAACAAGATTAAAATAAATGAAGGAACTATGCCATGAGCAAGGGAGGGCCTAATTAAAGGGAGTTAATTGGAATTCCATGCCTATGTGTGTTTTGTCGATGCAGCCGACAGGAAATATTACACGTGAGTGCGCTCACCGGAGACCTCACAAACACCCTTCAGCTGAACACACAGAAACAACACCACCAAACTCATGCTTACTCCACGTTTTCTTTCAGCTCTCAATACCCAGACTGGCCAATTTGTGATTGTTAGTGTGTTTACCTGTTTGTAAAGAGAGTCTGTCTCTCGCTGGAGCCGTGTTGTGTTGTGTTTGTTCTTCTCTATCTCCTCCTCTCTCTGTTTCAGGATCTCCTGAAGTCTGCTCAACTCCTTCTGCAGGGCCACAACCTCCTCTCTCCTAGACGGGACCTCCTGCATCTGCTCTGCGAGCTAAACACACGCCACAGCCACACAATGACAATATTAAATACATGTTAATAGTCAAGTAATGTGGATTTTTGATAGCCAGTGCCAGTATCTAAAGATCAGGAACTCATAATCGCCTAGATGAAATTTCCGGATTCTGCTTTACGCATTTTAAGTCATGATTTTGGGATAAAATCTGTTAACATAAATCTCAGTATAAAAATGACTAAATAATAATAAGTATGGAACAACAAGGTAAACTGTGTTTTTGGCTGAGATTCCTTAGTATTATGATTATTGGTAGCTGTTAATAAAGTATAATGAAGCCATAGATCTAAGCAAACAACTTAATATATATATATATATATATATATATATATATATATATATATATATATACATACACAAAAAAATAAAGTATATACAGACAATACCAGTCAAAACTGGAATAATTAAGTGTTTTTTTTTCTGAAAAAAAGTCTCTTATGCTCACTAAGGTTGCATTTATTTGATTTAAAATACAGTAAAAACAGTAATATTGTAAAATATTACAATTTAAAATACCTGTTTTCTATTTTTAGTATATTTTAAAATGTAATTTATTCCTGTGATGGCAAAGCTGAATTTTCAGCATCATTACTCCAGTCTTCAGTGTCACATGATCCTTTAAAAATCATTATAATATGCTTCAATATGTTTGGGGTAAGTAAAAAAAACAAAAAAACAAAACATTTATTCAGCAAAGACACATACAATTGATAAATACATTTATGATGTTACATAAGACTAATTCAAATAAATTCTGTTCTTTTGAACTTTTTATTAATCAAAGAATACGAAAAACCACAAGCATTTTACCCATCAAAAACTGTTTCCAACATTCAAAATAATAAGCAAAATAACAACTTCTTCTGAGGTAAATTCAAGGCTTATTCCTTACAGTTTCTTCCAAACTCAATGAAAAGCAGAGAATATTTGTTTTCGATATGACTAACTTTAAAAGTAGACACTTCAAGCTTTCTAAATACATATCTCTCATGTCTGTGTGGCAAGTATTCATTGAGGTTCGGTTCCTTTTTGATGCGTTTCAGAAAGAAGTTCGCAAAAACTGAGACAGCAGAAAGCGCACTGTGTTTTTGTAAAATAAAGAAAACATTCAAAGTTTTGTAGTTATTGTAAGTGTACGCAAACAAAAATATACCATTTACTGTTTCTGTATGCCAAAAAAATTACGGAGTATTTCAAGTCGATTTTGCTGCTATGTAGAAAAAATCTGTGCGTTCATCGATCCCAGATGGTTAATAATTGAGCACCAATTGATAGTTGATAACTGAGCAGCAAATCAGCACATTTGTATGATTTTTGAGGGATCATGTGACACCGAAGACTGGAGGAATGATGCTGAAAATTCAGCTTTGCATCACAGGAATAAATTACATTTTATAATATATTCAAAAGAAAACTTTAATTTAGATCGTAATATTTCACAATATTACGTTTTTTACTGTATTTTTGATTAAATTAACACTGCCTTCATAGGATTAAGATACTTCTTTAAAAAATATTAAAATATATATACACTCACCGGCCACTTTATTAGGTACACCTGTCCAACTGCTCGTTAACACTTAATTTCTAAGCAGCCAATCACATGGCGGCAACTCAGTGCATTTAGGCATGTAGACATGGTCAAGACAATCTCCTGCAGTTCAAACCGAGCATCAGTATGGGGAAGAAAGGTGATTTGAGTGACTTTGAACGTGGCATGATTGTTGTTGCCAGAAGGGCTGGTCTGAGTATTTCAGAAGCTGCTAATCTACTGGGATTTTCACGCACAACCATCTCTAGGGTTTACAGAGAATGGTCCGAAAAAGAAAAAACATCCAGTCAGTGGCAGTTCTGTGGGCGGAAATGCCTTATTGATGCCAGAGGTCAGAGGAGAATGGCCAGACTGGTTCGAGCTGATAGAAGGGCAACAGTGACTGAAATAACCACTCGTTACAACCGAGGTATGCAGCAAAGCATTTGTGAAGCCACAACACGCACAACCTTGAGGCGGATGGGCTACAACAGCAGAAGACTCCACCGGGTACCACTCATCTCCACTACAAATAGGAAAAAGAGGCTACAATTTGCAAGAGCTCACCAAAATTGAACAGTTGAAGACTGGAAAAATGTTGCCTGGTCTGATGAGTCTCGATTTCTGTTGAGACATTCAGATGTTAGAGTCAGAATTTGGCGTAAACAGAATGAGAACATGGAACCATCATGCCTTGTTACCACTGTGCAGGCTGGTGGTGGTGGTGTAATGGTGTGGGGGATGTTTTCCTGGCACACTTTAGGCCCCTTAGTGCCAATTGGGCATCGTTTAAATGCCACGGCCTACCTGAGCATTGTTTCTGACCATGTCCATCCCTTTATGGCCACCATGTACCCATCCTCTGATGGCTACTTCCACCATGTCACAAAGCTCTAATCATTTCAAATTGGTTTCTTGAACATGACAATGAGTTCACTGTACTAAAATGGCCTCCACAGTCACCAGATCTCAACCCAATAGAGCATCTTTGGGATGTGGTGGAACGGGAGATTCGCATCATGGATGTGCAGCCGACAAATCTGCGGCAACTGTGTGATGCCATCATGTCAATATGGACCAAACTCCCTGAGGAATGCTTCCAGCACCTTGTTGAATCTATGCCACGAAGAATTGAGGCAGTTCTGAAGGCAAAAGGGGGTCCAACCCGTTACTAGCATGGGGTACCTAATAAAGTGGCCGGTGAGTGTATATATATATTCAAAAGTTTAGACCGGTAGGTAATATATATATATAGTATATAATCTATAATGCTCTGTGGAAAATATTTAAGCGTGGCAAACTCTGTTAAATTCAGCTGAGATTACCTTTATTGACATCTGATATAAGTATAATAAAGCCTTTTTTATTATAAATAAATATGGCCAGAAAAGGCAGGAAAGCACAGAGGCCTGAGGGAATTCAGCATGAAGCACGGCTGTGGCACAGAGACATGTAGAGCCGTGGATATATAAGGCCTGTCAAATTCATCCCTCTTTCATTACATGCCTCTCTATAATCACGCACCATCACCTCTATAGTGCAAAAAGAGTGCTCTCTTTCTCTTTCTCTCTGTGTCTGTCTCTTCAGCCGTCTGCTTGGATTAAAATGACATCTCCCCTTGAGTCTTCGGAAATGCCACATGAAGCCGTTACTAACAAACCTTCATGCAAGAGGAGGTGGAGCGGATTGAGGTGTGGTGGTGGTGGGGGGGTTGGATGTGCCCTTCAGCAAAAATGAATTTTCCAATTGCAGTTAGTTCTGCCATGAATAAATAAACAAATGAATAATTGAGAGGGCAACATAAATAAATAACATCACAAACATTTCACAGGCACTCATAAGTTCGGGAGATAACTGGGGCTGAATGCTAATGATAAAAACAGTACATGGAGCAGAATCCAATGCATAATTCACAGCTCGCCCGCTCGCTCGAGAAAAAAAAAAAAAAGTCAAAATAAATTAATAAATATGAAAAAGAAAAATCTCTCAAAGAACTCAAAACATCCAGTCAGCACTGAAGTGACAGGTTTGTCCCATTTAAAACATCCAAGGACACTCTGCCAAACAAATAACTGACCAGTCAGAGATGTATAAATAAACCAGCACAGCCTTCTACTTCAATTGACAAGTTATGCAAAAGTTTGGCACACAGGGAAGCGGGAGACGTGCGGGCGTCAGGTCCATCTTTAGTGTGTGAGTGAGTGTGGATGGACTGGACGGCCCATGTCCTTGATCCTGTCCGCTTTCGGCCTACGGAGACCTTCAGATGCATCCTTCTGATCTAAGGCCAGAATGATATGTTGACAATATCTGATTTTTTTTGCTGACCAGCTTACATCTTCTTTACGAAAAAACCCAAGGTAGACACACTGACCTGCTTAGGCCGAATTTGCAAACTAAATAATTTTTTTTTTTTTGCTTTCTGCACCATCTTTTAAGATCAGAAAACATTGGAAAACAAACGTTCTCCATTGTGCCATTAAAAAGAGTCATGTGATCGTGGTTGGTTTCCCACCTGAGTTGACATCATTCACCACCGTCGCTATTTCAATGACGTACGATAATCGGATTCATATCAGATTTATTTCCACATATGAATGAGGCCTTAAACCGATCGGAGAATATCAGAATCCGTGTGCTTTTTTTCCTGCTTACACGTTCATGGGTCATATCCCGTCACATGGGAGGACAAAATCGAATTGGGTCACTTGAATCATGTAATGTAAATCCAGCCTATGAGTTATTGCACAATCTTAGCACCAAAATAAATGAGTAAACGCTGATATGATCAAGGTAAAATGAAACAATGTTTAAAAGCATGGCTTCTGCTTCTGCCACAGACCCTTTATGGAGACTAAGGGTGTATTCACACCAGGAAAGTCCACTAGTTCACGTACTTTGGTCCGGACCAAATAAAATGTTGATTTTTTTGTTTTTGTTTGGTGTGGTTTGCTTTCACACTGCACTTTTTGCAAGTGAACCAAATTGTGTAAACAAAACCACACTTGTGCTAAGGTCATCCATTCATTGGACAGAAATTCTCAAGCAGGGAAAAGCAGGAAGTGCAAAAACAGGCAATTTTTATTCTTTTACTGATTTGGTGTCATCAGCTACTAACGCAATATGAAGAAACTTATGAGCATCATATGATAAATTTCATATATACGATGTTGTAATTAGGATTTTGCGAAAACGAGTATGTGCTGTAAGACGGTTGTGGACGAGAGAGCATGCTCTTAACTGATAAAGTTAAGAGTGCAGACCAAAGTGCAGACCACATTTCTATGAGGCTCCGCACCTCCTCACAACTCCAAGTTTGTCCGTGAGCTGCCATGCTAAAAGTGCAAACTGTCAACAAACATTCACAACGAACTCTAGTGCGATTCAACTAAATGAGGCAGGTGTGAAAGCACCCTAAGTTGCAATGCCCTTAACATACAGTGTGACCGACCACGTTTACTCACTGTAAAAAATATATATATATATATTTTTTTACAATGAAGTTGTTAACAAAACAAAGCTTATTGGATGACTTTTTACAAGAAATTACTATTTCAGTCTTAGTTGTTTAATTCAATGGGTTACTTGCCATTTCTCAATTATTTGTGAAATATACTAGCAATTTCTGAGTGAAAATTGTTTCACCTACACCCTTTTTTTAAAAAGTGCTATACATATCAGCACATGCTCAGTTTTCTCATGTGTGAATGAATTATGCTAGTATGCTGAGGTTAGCCTATAATAAAAGAAGCTATTTATATAAAGAAGTCTTAAAGGTACCGTAGCGAAAACAGTCCATTTAAAGGGATAGTTCACTTTGAAATAAATTTTTTATATGTTTTAGCTTACCTCAAGGGCATCCAAGATGTAGGTGTCTTTGTTTCCGCAGTAGTTTCAATTTTGATATTTTTAGGTCAAACCGTTCTTGCCACAGCCACGTCCAAGTGATCTGAGGGCGCCGGCGCTTCGGTCTTTTCCGGCAAGCGCCGGAAGTGATCTCTCGCGCGTATACGTCACTCATTGTTTACACAGAACAGAGATTGTAGGTGAGACGGCTAATTAAAAGGGTACTAATTTGTGCTTATCCGGGATGTTTAAACCGTTGTAAAAGAAAACAATAAAAAAAAATTTAAAATAAAACAATTGTATGAGTGACGTACACGCGCGAGAGATCACTTCCGGCGCTTGCCGGAAAAGACCGAAGCGCCCGCGCCCTCAGATCACTTGGACGTGGCTGTGTTTACAAGAGGTAAAAACGATATAAATACTTTTCGTTTTCTCACACAAACCGCTCGGTTCGTGTCTTAGACCATCAATGTGTACTTACATTTACGAGTCATTAAATCATGTTTAATTTGGACTTCTCTGTGCATGCTCTTTGAGGTGGTGACCATAGACCTTTATTAAATATGACTGACAGACAAGAACGGTTTGACCTAAAAATATTAAAATTGAAAATACCGTGGACACAAAGACACCTACATCTTGGATGCCCTTGAGGTAAGCTAAAACATATCAAAAATTAATTTCAAAGTGAACTATCCCTTTAATTCTCAGAGTCAGAGAGAGGATACAAAAGTGGTCGTGACAACATGGATTATGACTTTTTTGGTGTGAGAAAGCTTGATCAAAAGATTTCAGGTCAAAAGCACTTCTTACAGCCTTCTTAAATGTAAAGAATTTTAAGTAATGAACCAAGTAAAGATTCAAGCGAGGCTCTATATACAGTATCTGTAACACATAATTTAAACATGGCCAACAGTTAATTTTTTTTTACAAATAAAAAAAAAAAATAAAGAATAAACCTTCACTAAGCTCCACCTGTTAAGACAAGCTATCTGCTTACTATCAGAGCAAAAACTTGTCTGAGAAAATTAGATTAGAACAAAACTTTAATATATATTTTTTAATAAGGACACAAACAATTTATCGAAAAAGTGACAGTAAAGAGGTTTATAATAATGTTACAAAATATTTCTATTTCAAATAAATGCTGTTCTTTTGAACTGTCTATTCATCAAAGAATCCTGAAAAATGTATCATGGTTTCCACAAAATATTAAGTAGCACAACTGTTAATAATAAGACATGTTTCTTTAGCAGCAAATCAGCATATTAGAACGATGTCAGAAGGATCATGTGACACTGAAGACTGGAGGAATGATGCTGAAAATACAGCTTTACATTTAAAAAATATGAAAATAGAAAACAGTTCTTTTAAATTGTACTAATATTTCACAATATTAATGTTTTCCACTGTATTTGTTACCGCATTTATAAATGCAGCTTTAGTGTGCATAAGTACGGAGCCCCCCTAGTCCCACTTTGTCAAAAAAAATTATTATAACCATCTCATGGCCTCAAGATAGTAACTCGTGGCCTCAAGATAGTAACTCGTGGCCTCAAGATAGTATCTCGTGGCCTCAAGATAGTATCTCGTGGCCTCAAGATAGTATCTATCAGTATCTATAGAGATACTATCTTGAGGCCACGAGATAGTTATAATAATTTTTTTTGACAAAGTGGGACTAGGGGGGCTCCGTACATAAGAGACTTTTTTTAACACTAAAAATATGTGTAAACCTTAAAAAACAGACAAAAGATGAGCGGACGAAATGATTGACAGGTTTTCCTCACCTCTTCGTGTGTAGAGGTCAGACTCTCCTGAGCGGCCCGCAGGTCTGCCGTCAGTCTCAGAACCTTCTCGTCTCTATCGGACACCTACCACACAGACAGCTTTTACTCGACAGGAGCCTTACCAGACACAGTTTTACCAAAGTATGTGGTGCGTTGTACCTCGTCCTGCTCTGCTTTGTGTTGCTCTATGAGCCACTCGCAGTCTTTCTCCTGATGCTGGATGTCACAGTTCAGCTCAGCTATTCTGGAGGCCAGAAGATCCCTCTGCTTCTCTGCTTCATGAAGCCTGGAGACCATAGACTCCTCTTCAACCAGCTGTTGGTGCATAGGAACAGAGATGCAAGATATGTTATTGTAGGTCAGGTTGCATCATGCTGGTCAGTGGATGCGTTTATTGATGTGCAGATCATGGAGGCTGGAGAGGGTGTAGTATCAGGTAGTGTATCGATGCTCATCAGTCCTAAGCTCTCTCTGATCTCTCTCTGATCTAGACCTGCTAGCGGCTTTCCTTGCACAACACATTACACTGCACTTGTTTATTCCAATTGAGTGGCAGACTGAATAAACAGTCAATAAAACTAGTTCAAAGTAAAACATGCAAAAGGAAAAAAAGGCAGGTTCGTGGCAACAAGTATTGAAGAACTTCTAAGCACCTTCTCTCTCAGAAAACAGCCCATACCAGCAGCTGTCTATAGTCTCAGCTTCAGACATCACGTCCAGTAAATTACGTAATTAGATAACTTTTTTCAAGTAGCTAGTAAAGTAATGCATTACTTTTACCTTTACAACAACATATCTGAGTTACTATCTTAACCCTTGTGCACTGTTCGAATTCTGTGTAGACCCTTTATGGAGCGGGTCAAATTGACCCTAATTGGATTCAATACAATTCCTCAAAAATCACACTATGAAAAACAACAAAGATTTAGATACAAACTGTAAACTTTTGATATCAACATTTGTCAAACATTACAAAAACATTATATCTGAAAATATGATTTATAAAAATGTTTTTAAACCATTTTTTAAACCAATTTTTGACAAAATTGGAAAATAAACAGTATACTGACTTTTTTTGCATATACTTTTTTTTTTACTTTTTTTATTTATTTTATTTTTTTACTTTTTATGCTTTGAACATCGTAACTGAACAAAAAATGTTGCTGTATAATGTTGCCTAAAACTTTCCCTAGTTTCCAAAGACCTAGTTCTCTAGTTTAATTATTCACTCACAGGGAAGTGAGAAACCAAACATAACAAAATCATACATCATATAAACGTTTTTAATTTATTTATTGGATCTGTGAAGCTGCCTTTGAAAATCCTACATAAAAGTTTTGGTTAAAAGCTAGGTATTTTAGATATCTTGAATATTGAAATGAGAGCTTCTTTTACTATCTGTGTCTGACAAAGATTTTCATCTGTAATTTGCAAATAATTCTAAACAATTTTAGCTTATTCAAGTGTGTTTGGTTAGGGTTAGATCACTTTTAGATACACTTGCATGTTAGAACTGGAGTTGAAGTGCCCTTACATACAGAAAATAAATGTTTTTATTTTGTGTCTGTACAGTTGCTTTTGAATGGCTGCATATGAGGGTCAAATTGACCCGCGAACATCACGAACGTAAGTAATTTTGTTTGTATATATCAAAACACATCAGCATGTTGAAACTTTGCATGCATGTTCATCATGATAAATGAGAAAAAGTCACAAAATATCAAGAAAAAAAAAAACAAAGGTTAACCAGTATTTCCAACAACTAGAAAATCGAAACGGGTCAAATTGACCCGCAACATAACACACTGTAAAAAATAAAAAGTTGAGTAAACTTAAAAAAATAAAGCAACCAGCTGCAAAGCATTTTTGAGTTTACTCAACTTCAGTGGTCGAAGTTTATCCAACTACCAGTCCAACTCAAAGAAACGAGTAAGCACAACTACAGAGGTCCTGAAGTTCAGTAAACTCAAAAAAGCTTTGCAGCTGGTTGCTTTATTTTTTTAAGTTAACTCAACTTTGAATTTTTTTAAGTTAACTCAACTTTTTATTTTTTTAAGTTTATTCAACTTTATTCAATTTTCCTCTAACCTATTTTTACGTACTATTTTCTCACCCAAATTATTATATGGCCATGACATTATAAGAGTCCAAATGCAGGGATTACTGTAAATACAATGCAAAGACTTTCAACATTACAAAAAATCTTTATTGAAACTTTTGTTGCAAAATGGCACATTTTCTGTCAGCATGAGGTAAAGAATTAGTGCTGGAATTATACAACACAAATTATTTTAAAGTGCTGAGTAACAACATTTGTCTTTAAGTGCTAGAGTATCAAGCATAAAATGCTGCAGCAATAAACAAGTTACAACACACCTTGCATGGTATTTTAAAATTTTGTCTTACATTTAAGCACATCCATGCAACAAACTTTCTAAAGCAATCAAGTAGCAAACTGTTAAAACAACATTTGACCTTACGTTAAAACTCAGCAACAACAGATAAACACCTTACATTTGGGCTGGAATGGACAGTGGCAACTTTGTCTTTGACAAAGCTTAAGATCCCCATCTTCATCCCCTTTGTGTATTCGTCTTCTGGCTCTGTGTCCTGGAGTAAAAAGCAGCATAAAAACAGGGTGAGTAAATTTAATTTATCTTAGTTTATATCTGCTGTATTCATATTCTTGTACACTCTTTCTTATTATATTAATCTTATTTATTCTTTACTATTGCTACACTTTTTTAATCTCATGATTGTGTCCTCTATTGTTTTCACAGGTTGAAGATCAAAGGGAATGTCTCAATATCAAGTTTTTCAATGTCACAATATTGCGAAATAGTAATATTCCATTGTGTTCGCTTTGGCATAACACATTTGTGCTACCAGGTGAAATCAGACTGATCACTGAGAAAAAGTCAAATAAGATTATTCAGTAACGCTTAACAATAAGGTTTCATTAGTTAACTACATTACTTAACATGAACTAATAATGAACTGCACTTCTACAGCATTTATTCATACATTTTCTAATACATTATTAAAACCAAAAGTTGTATTTGTAAACATTAGTTAATGCACTGTGAGCTAACATGAACAAACAATAAGATTATTCAGTAACGCTTAACAATAAGGTTTCATTAGTTAACTACATTACTTAACATGAACTAATAATGAACTGCACTTCTACAGCATTTATTCATACATTTTCTAATACATTATTAAAACCAAAAGTTGTATTTGTAAACATTAGTTAATGCACTGTGAGCTAACATGAACAAACAATAAGATTATTCAGTAACGCTTAACAATAAGGTTTCATTAGTTAACTACATTACTTAACATGAACTAATAATGAACTGCACTTCTACAGCATTTATTCATACATTTTCTAATACATTATTAAAACCAAAAGTTGTATTTGTAAACATTAGTTAATGCACTGTGAGCTAACATGAACAAACAATGAACAGTTGTATTTTAATTAACTAACATTAAAACGATTAACAAATAGAGTAACAAATGTATGGTTTATGGTTAGTTCATGTTAGTTTATACATTAATGTTTGCAAATTAAACCTTTTTGTTAAGCGTTACCGATTATTAAATAAACTATTTTTTACCATCACTTTGTCTCCTACTTTCTACTCTTTCCCCTTGCCTCTTGTCTGATAGAACAGTTAGTTGATGTGTTTTGGATAACAGACAAAACTGTTATCTCCTGACAGGATTTGGGGAAGGATCTCAGGTATGAGTATATGTGCTGATACGCATCTTCTTACCAGGCAAGTCCTCAGAAAGTTTCCTGACTTTTCCCTCATAAACACCGGGAGCCCTTTGAGAGCTGTAGCCTTTCTATGAGCAAAGACATCAGATGTCTGAAAGACAGAAAAACAAATACAGAACAAGTTATATCCAACCAGAAGCAGAAATAACGCTACAAATGAAGTGTTACAGGCAGCCGTTTTCTTTTCGAGAGATCATTTAACTTTGATGTGAACTTTGCAGATCGATTGCATGCACAAATACCTACATTTCACACTAAAAAAGGGGTAAAATCCAAAAATATCATAGTAGTTCACTTTAACCAGAGATCTTTGAGAGAGATTTGGTAAATACTTGATTATCAAGTTGGTCCAGGAGGGTTTTCATTTCCTCTCCATATGCTCCACCACGGGCTCTGTACAGCTTGATCATCGGTGATGCATATTCATCCAAAGATGAGAAAAAGGTGCTCTTCAGGTTGGTGTGAGTAATCCGGTAAAACTCCGCAGATACCTTTAAAAAAAATAGTTAACAGTAAGAATAAAGTCTACACAACGTAAACAATGCTGGCCATTCGTTTAGGACATCAGCCACAAGAGGTTCTTAGTTGACTATTTCCTTTCTTGTCAGTGGGAATGTCAGTTCCATTTTTGAGTCAACAAATGCCATGTTGAGATGTTTCTTCTTCAATTTGACTGTGTCATGTTTCTTCAAATGATTTCTGATATGGTTTAAAAACTGAGATGGCTGACAAACATCTTTAAAATCACATAACTCAGACGAAAAATTAAAGTGCTCTGTAACTGCAATAGTCTGTTTGTATGCTCTTGTCAAATGTGATTTTAACGCACCTAGAGTTTTGAAAGTGCAGATGAAGTCAGTATACAAGCAAGGATGCTGCCAGGATCGCCCTTGATAATGGTGAAATCTGTAGTGTTTCAAAAGGACCTCTCTGCTACTGTGGGCAAATTTGCTAAACTTACACTGCATTCCAAACCTATAAAAAAATAAAAAAAATAAAAATGTTAAAGATGTGCAATGTTACATTTCTACAAAATTAATATTAAAGGTAATTAACTAAGAATGAACAATACTTGTACAGCATTTATTAATCTTAGTGTTAATTTCAACATTTACTAATACATTATTACAGTCAAAAGTTTTATTTGTTAACATTAATGCACTGTAAACTAAAACGAAAAAACAATGAACAACTGTTTTTTGTTAACTATTATTAAAGATAAATAAACGCTGTAAAAAATGAATAGCTCATTCTTAATTCATACATTTACTAATGTTAACGAATGAGAACTTAATCTAAAGTGTTACCATATACCACACACATGCTACGTTAATAAAAATGAAATAATATCCAAAATAAAAATTCAGCTGCTTCATAACATTACTGACAGACAACAAAACATATATTAGATTGCTGCTACAGTCAAGTTACATGATTTGAATCATTTGGACATTAAAGCTAATGTCTGCATCTTTTGGCGTTCAAGCAGTTAACCAGAACTGCATGCTCTTGTGGAAGAACATTGTAG